GGTGATGCCCAGGAACGGAGCCGACCGCTTCCCTTCCTCCCTCAGCTCTGTCACCACACTGGACTTAGCAGAGCAGCCGGACAGATCCTTCACAAAACCCCATGGCCCACGCAGAAGGAAGCAGGGTGGTCGGCAGAGCCGGAGACATGCCAGGGAGGCCCGCGCCAGGCCATCCATGCTGCACTGCTGGTGTGGGCCTCGGTCGTCAGAGAACGAAGACAGTATCAGCGCTGCTGTCACAGTGCCGATGCGGGAGATGACATTTCAGAGCTGAAAAGCTTCAGGTTGGCCGAAATGATGGAAGGAAGCCAAAACAATGATATTTTAACTGGGGTAGAGAGAAATCGTGTCCTCAAATTAAAAAAAAAAATTAACTCTATACAGGAGAGAGAAGACCCCGCAGTTCATTTGAAAAGACTGATGGGTTTGTAACTGACCAAAGCTCAATAGCAACCAACAGTACATACACATCTTGGCTGCTCAGGAAAACAAGAAAGAAACCAGTACAAACTGCTGGTGCATCGCCAGGATCACAATGGCCCAGTGACTTTCTCAAAGGTCCGTTTATTTATTTGAAAAGCACAGTGACACCAAGAGGGAAAGACTCAGGATTGGAATGAGAGAAATCCTCCATCGGTTGATTCTCTCCCTTGTGCCTACTACAGCCAGGCTGGCCAGAACAAGACAGGAGCCAGGAGTTCTCGCTGGGCATCCTCATGCCGGGCAGGGACCCAGGCACTCGAGCCATTGCTGGCTACCTCCCAGGCTGCACATGGCCAGGAAGCAGTGGGCTCTCAGACCAGGCTCCCTGGTGTGGAATGTCAGCATCCCCTCCGTGCCCCATTTGGGCCCCAGGGCCTCTGCTCTTAACAGCGGGTGCAGTGTGGCTTCAAGTCCTCTGATGTGACTCATGCTCTTCTGGGACCAGGGTTTAGGAGAAGGATCTGCTCAGGTGGGATGAGCATCTAAGCAGAAGAAGGGTCCAGAAGCACCGTTCCAGGACAGACAGACACTGGAGACACGTCACCCATGAGGGGTGAGGGCACCCTTCCCCACTCTCGTGTGAGTGACCAATGTTGTCCAGGGGTTTCTTCCAGGATTCATTCATTGTTCCCTGGCCAGCTACTTGTGGCACTGGGTCTGATGTGAGGGGGTGATGGAGATTCAGAGTCTCCAGGGAGAGCCAGACACATATGCTGTGCCCACAGGGCAAGGCAGGTGGGCATGAAGGACACAGAAGGGAGTGTAGAACAGAGGCCTGCCTGTGTCGGCAGCGGTTCTTGAGGCCTTATGGGGGAGAGGGACAGGCAGCCTCGTGCTGGTGTGCAGGGACGGCAGGCACGCGGGCCTGGACAGCAGTAGTGGCCAAAACCCAAGGCGCCCAAGTGCCCAGCACGCCTGAGTCATGGGCAGCGGTTTGTGAATAGCATGATGTGGCAGGGGCATGTTGGATGCCAAGTATGGCATTTGTGCCAGGCTCACAGCGGACTCCAAATGCATGCCAAGAGCCTGGACCTCAGCAGTGGGCAGCAGGGGATGAATCAACATCAGTTAACCCCTTTGGGCCAGGACATAGAGAGATGGGGGCAGGGTTGAGGAAGGCTGCCTGACCAAATGTGACCTGGGACAAACACACAGCAGTCTAGGTCATAATCGGGCCCTTCAAGTTGAAGGGGCTGAGTGCCCTTTTGTGAGGACACTGCATGGACGGATAGGACACTACGAATCCACGAGGAACTCTTATTTTGTATGGCAACAGGTTTTTTTTTTTTTTAAGATTTATTTATTTTTATTGGAAAGTCAGATTTACAGAGAGGAGAGACAGAGAAGATCTTCCATTCGCTGATTCACTCCCCCAAGTGGCTCCAATGGCTGGAATTGAGCTGAACCAAAGACAGGAGCCAGAGGCTTCTTCCAGGTCTCCCACGTAGGTGCAGGGTCCCAAGGCTTTAGGCCGTCCTCTTCTGCTTTCCCAGGCCACAGCAGGGAGCTGGATGGGAAGTGGAGCAGCCGGGACATGAGCTGGTGTCCATATGGGATGCCAGCTGCAAGTAAAGGATTAGCTTGTTCAGCTAGCATGCTGTTTCCTACTTTCACAGTTTTTAAGTGTGCAATTTGGTAACACTGGTGCATCCCAATTGGCATACCAGCCACCCCATCCCGTTGGAGAGGGAATGCTGTCCCAGGCGTGCCTGGGCCACAATGCACTGACCCCTTCAGCCCCGGTGGACAGGGCATTCCCTCTTCCTGGCTGCTGCAGATCCTGCTGCTGTGGACGTGGCTGTGGACACTGCTCTGAGTCCTACCCTTCATTATTTCGAACAACTACCAACAAGCAGAAGTTTTGCTATCTCCTTCTTTTATTTTAATTTTTTTTAGGTGCTGAATAGTATCTTTACACTGTTTTCAGGGTTCCCCCACCCCCTCCTCCACTCTCCCAGGGCTCAAATGTCCTGGCTTCTGAGGTCTGAGTTCCCTGCCCCCAGCAAGTGCCCAGGCCCCATGTGCCTCCCCCTGTGTTTTGTTTTTAAAGAATGTTAACTTCAACAATAGACGCACCAGGCCCACAGTTCTCGGTGTCTTTTTTTATTGCTTCTCTTAAGAAAGGCCACAGAGTTTGCACTGTTCTTTCTCTCTTTCACACGCTGCACAGCCGCTGTGCACTGCGGTAACATCACGCATTACAACAGGAGCAGTCTCAATGTGGTGCTAACAGTTTGTTAAAACATTTGGACGCAAAAATCACACACTAGTCATTAAGTTTTCAGAGCTACTTCTTGAATTTTTCTAATGCGGCACCTAATTGGCCAAACACACATATCCATGTAACTATTGTAAATTTTGCTTCTTTTAGAGTGAGAGTGGAGAGACCATGGTGGAGAGATGACGTTAACTCTTTAATGCTCTGGGTTTACGATGTTTATCATCTCAAAGCAATTGGAGTGAGTTCTCATCTGTAATTTCACCCTAATGGGTAAAAGGGCTTCTGAAGGGAATCGTGGGCTCTGTTTTGCACCTGAACTTCTAAGTATATTTCTGTCTTTCCAGTTGGGACTGTCCCTTAGTACAGCGTGGCGGGCACACGTTCCACCTTTAACGTCAGGGGCTGCTCCCTCTTCTAGAGAGCCGCCTTCTCATCATTTATTCATGGAGATCATTTCTCTTATGCTTAAAAAAAGTTGTCACGACTCAGCTTTCTTACACCTGTCTTTTCCTCTTTGTGTAAAAGTGTGAAAGTGCATAGTGAAGAGAGAGCAGAGAGATGGGAAAGGCATGGGGGCAGAGGCAGAGAGACAGGGACAGGCAAAGGGCGTGAGCACCTGTGTGCGCTTCAGAGCCGCAGGGGACACGCCTGCCTTCGCCGAGGGCTGGCTGGCTCTGCTTCTGACTCCTTTCCCTGCCAAAGCCCTCCACGTGCCTGCATGTACCCTACCCCTGAGGACCACCAAGCTGGCCCCATCTGCTGCCACCATGCCCCAGGTCACCAGCCAGAAGGGCCTGATCTGAGGATTAGCGTGGGACACTGCAAACCTGCACTCTCCGTGATCAGGCCCTGCCCAGCAACTGTGTGACTCCATGTTCATGTACAAGTGCTTTGCTGACATCTTTGACTCCGATTGCCCAAGGATGCCCCTGATGGGGGCTGGGGCTTTGCCGTCCCGGCTGGACTGTCCTGTCTTTCCAGGTGGATGGTCCTACAGCAACTCCACCCTGGCTCTTTTCTCATTTGCTTTCCTCTCTCTCGACCCCAGGCCTGGAGTGCTGCACACCCCCTAGTGCTGCTGCAGTGGCAGGCATGCGCGTTGCTATCCAGTTTGTACCTGCTCAGCTCCCTAACCCGCCCTGAGCCCGGTCCACCCGTGTGGAGATGCGCACAGGAGCTCCGTCGCCTGCAGGCTCTGGTCTTGGTTTCCATTTTCCCTCAGTGTCTGCCGTCTCCCACCTGTGAGCAGACCGTATCTCCTCCTCTGGGGCTCTAACCTGCCCCCCCCCACACACACACACCTTGGGTCTATCACACCACCAGCAGCCTGGAGCCTCCCCTCCCACCCCTGGGGAATTGTTCCCCTTCTCAATTGTTCTTCTTTGTGCTTGCTCTTGACAGCTGGGGCAGGGAAATCATCTTAGTGCCCCACTCCTGCCCAGGGCCCCCAGCAACAGTGCCTGTTAACCCTAACCTAAAGGTGCCACGCGGGCAGCGACAGAGCCTGCCACACTCCTGCCATCTTTGGGGTCCCAGCTGGAAAAGACAGGCAGGGTCGGCTCCTGAGCCCCAGAAACCCAACAGTACCCCCTTTATTCCTTTTATTTCCACCTTCTGGGCTCCACCTGCAACTCCTAGATACCACGTGCCTACCGCGCACTGAGGGATACTGCGCGACCCAGGACCTTCCAGGCCGGGTCCCCCGGCCTCCCCCTTTGCTCACAAACCATCACAGGCTTGGGGGTGGGCGTCTCTTCCACTCTGATCTCACGCCCAGGCTGGGGCTGAGTACATACAGCTGCCTCCGGGTGCGCCTCGCTCAGCAGCCCAACCTGGGGCACCCTCCGCCGCCCTCCCGTGCGCTCTGGCGTGCCCTCAGCCTTGGAGCTAACACGCGTCGGGGAGAGGGCAGCGCGCAGCTTCGAGTGGGTCCCGGAATTGCGCGCACTAGATCCCCAGCCCCGCTCTGCGCTGCCCGAGCCTCTTTGTCCCCGCGGCCGCCCACGGCCTCCTGCAGCCCCGGGGCGCCGAGGCGCGGGGACCAGGCGGAGCGGGGCCCAGGGGCGGCGCCCCGGGCAGCATCCCGGGAAAGGCCGCGCAGCCGTCCCCGCGGTCCCCGCCCCGCCACGTCCCCCTCCCGGGCCGGTCCCCGCGGCCGCCCCCTCGTGGGCAGAGCGGGCTCAGGGCCGCCGGCGGCGGCGGGCCCGGGGTTGCCATGGTAACCGGCAGCAGCCGCCGCCACAGCAGGGCCGGCCCCAGCGCCAGCGCCGGCCGCGGCTCGGTCGGGCTCGGGCTCAGTGTGCGGGTGAGCGGCGTTGGCCGGCCGGGAGCGGGCGCGGCCCGGCGGCCTCAGCATGGAGGACGGCTTCTCGAGCTACAGCAGCCTGTACGACACGTCCTCGCTGCTCCAGTTTTGCAACGGTGAGCGCGGCGGACGCGCGAGGGCCGCGGGCGGCGGCGGGGCCGAGGCGAGGCGGAGGCCCGGGGGCCGCGGGCGAGGCCGCGCCGAGGGGCTCCGGAGGGACGCGCGGTTCCCGCCGCCGCGGGCGCATTGTGCTGGGGCCGCGGGCCCGCGCCGTGCCCCGGGCCCGGCCTTGGGCGTGGTGGAGGCGCGCGGGCGGCTGCGGCGCGGGGCTCGGGCTCTCGGCCAGCGCGCGGTCGGAATGGCCCCGCGCGAGCGCACCCGGGAGCCCGGGTGGGCAGGCCGATGTTGGGGAAGAGGGGACGTGTTGATGTTTTGCCTCCCAACTCACCTCGGTGGAGAACTTCCAGCCAGCTTCCGGAGGGGATGCTCGCGGTGCGGGGAGAGGGGCACCCCGGCTTTTCTGCAATCGGGAATTCCTTGCAGCTCAGAGCTTGGCACATGGAAAGTTGGGTGGACCTGGCTTCCCAGTGGGTTGCTTGAGCGTTATTTTATTTCCGGCTGATAGGTTCTTTCACTGGAATCCGGTGGCGGTTTTTCCAGGAAGGCACCGTTTCTAGCCATTATTAAGGCATATTTTGCAAAATAGAAAACCGTATACCCTAGAAAGGACCCCCCCCCCCTCGCCGTGTCTCATTATCAGGGTTGAAAAATGTTTTCACAGCACACTGCATATTTGATCAGAACATGTGATCACTCCTTCCCGGTTGGGTTTATTGCTGCATCAGAAGTTTATTCAAAGGCGGGGGACGGGGGCGTTGTATGAAGCTTACTTAAGTGTCTTGGAAGAATTTTGAACTCTAGACCTGTTGGCAACTGAAGTTGTGATTTAGGGAAACTTGTCTTTTTCCACACCTGTTTGCAGGAGCTCAGCGGTGAGTGCCCGGCTTGCCTTAGTCCCCAGGAATCTTTGTTCTCTCTCTCCCTCCCTCTCTCTCCCTTTTTCCCTGTCTCCCTCTCTCTGTCTGTGAGCTTCTCCATTCTGGCTTGGGCACACTGCCTTATAGTTTCCCTAACAGCCACTTGTGGGCCTCGGTCGTTTTGGAAGATTGTCTTCAGCTGGCTGGGAGTTAATTTTTATTCTAAGTTAAACGCTGGTTTCCAGGCGTCAAAGCTGGGGTTCCCTGGCCCCCGGAGCCTGCTGAGGACCGAGTGTGGTGCTCAGCTGGCCTCTGAATACCTTTGCAGAGTCCTGGAGACGGCCTCCTCGCTCTCCCCAAGGCAGATAGAGTCCTCAATTAGCACGTTGTATTTGGAAAGTTTGCATTCATCAACTGATGATCTGTCCTATTGAAATGACTGGGCTTTGGCCCACTGAGTGGGGTCAGAGTCTGCGTGTTTACAGTGGGTTTCTCCTAATGTTGGTTGTGAAAGGTGCGTGGCCAACAGTGCAGTGAAACAATGTTAAGCATAACATCTTAAAAACCAGTCTGTGGGCATGTCTGTGATGGGTGGACTCGGGTTGCACGTTGACTGAGATGTTCTGGTTCGAGCACTTGCTTGGGGACTGGTCATGTTCCTAGACGGCGATTCAGCCATGATGACAGACACACGTGGGAGCGTCTGCTTTTCTGTGTTCTGCTGGTAACGGCCAGCTTGGAGGTGTCGGTGTGGTGTCCCACTGGGATGACATCTGTAGGAACCTACCCTGGCTCTTGGCTCCTACAGCTCTGTATAGTTGAGGTCATGGTTTGCAGAAAAGTTGCTTTAGCTAGAATCAGATCAGAGAATCACGCTAGAACTCAGTCAGATCATAACCAGTGAGCTGCTGCTCTGCTCCAAAGGTTCTGAGTGTATTCTTTTATTTTTAATTAATTTATTTTTATTGGAAATGCAGATTTGCAGAGACATGGAGGGACAGAGAGAAAGATTATTCATTCACTAGTTCACTCCCCTGAGTGGCCTCCATGGCCGGAGCTGAGCTGATTTGAACCCAGGAGCCAAGAGCTCCTTCTGGGTCTCCCACGTGGGGGCAGAGTTCCAACGTTTTGGGCTGTCCTCAACTGCTTTCCCAGGCCACAAGCAGGGAGCTGGATGGGAATTGGGGCAGCTGGGGCAGCTGGAACACAAACCAGTGCCCATATGGGATCCTAATGCATGCAAAGTGAAGGCTTTAGACACTGGGCTACAGCACAGGGCCCTGAGTGTATTCTTTTCTAGACTCTTGTAAGAACTGAGTTTAAAGCAAGGGTGGCCCAGTGGATAGACACCCAGGGGTCCCTGATGATGTCTTAGGCAACAGATGATTTGACTGAACTGATTCATTTTCAGGGGCTTCCATGAAGTCAAAATATAAATGAACAGCATTTAGTTAATGACTAGGATGATTCAATTAAAGCAATGACTCACAGAAACACCGTTTCTTCAAGAACCAAATTAAACATTTGGATATTTCATTAGCTACATAGGCAGAAAAGGGGGGAAAGGTCTTCTTTTTCCATGAGAGATTTGCGTGACAATGGCAAGATGACAGCAGCATAATATACGAGCTCATACATTTGCATATGTTAAGTACACCCCAGGCCCTGTGGCTGCTAAGTTAGTCCGGCACTTAGCAGGCTTCCTTCTGGTGTGCGGTAGCAGAGAAAGTGTAACTGGGAAGGAAGAAGAGAAAACGGGTTCTAATGAATGAAGTTGTGATACTTTGCCTGCACACGCTTGTGGCTTGTAATTTCTGCTCAGTGAATCTCTGGCGGGGTTTGTGGTGGTCGCCGGACACAGCTCTCGGCACTGTCTGGCCTCCCCGAAAGCCTAGTCTTTTCCCTCTTCTAGGAATGTGCTCTCATTTAAGTAGAAAATTTGTGTGTGTTTTTTAAAGTACTTATAAATCTGTAAAGTGAGCTTGTATAAATAAATATGTGTGTGTGTATATATGTATGTATGTATATATATTGGTGCTTAAGAAAATTTTTGGGGCTGGCCTTGTGGTGGAGTGAGTTAAGCTGCTGCCTGCAGTGCTGCCATCCCCTTTGAGCATTGGTTCAAATCCTGGTGGCTCCATTTCTAATCCAGCTCATGGCCAATGTACTTTGGAAGGCAGCAGAAAATGGCCTAATTCCTTGGGCCCCTTCAACCACATGGGAGACTGAGATGAATTCCAGGTTCCTGGCTTCAGTCTGGTGTAGCTTCCCAACCGTTTGGGGAGTGAACTAGCAGATAGAAGACCCAGACCCTCCTGTGCTTCTGTCTTTCAAATGGATAATTCATAAAAAGAAAAAAGGTAGAAGAGAAAAGCTACAATAGGGGCTGGTGTTGTGCTGCGGGTTGAGCCAGCATCCTGTGTTAGAGATGTGGGTCAGGTCCTGGCTGCTGCGGTTCTGATCCAGCTCCCTGCTGACGTGCCGGGGAAGGCAGCAGAGCATGAATCGAATACTCGGGCCCCTGCCAGCATGCGGGAGTCCTGGTTGGAGTTGTGGGCTCTAGGCTCAGGCCTAATTGTTGTGAACGCTGCCTTTCAAATATATGTAGATGTATATGTGTACGTGTATGTATACACATAATTTAAATTTTTTAGAAACCCTACAATGATTGAAAGTCACCCCGTTGCCACTTGGGCCTGGGTGTTGTCCGTAACCTGTGTGAGGCTCGCATGTGGATTGGCCACCCTTTTCTCATCCATTGTCAGGAATGTGCTCTTGCGTCCACACACGTGTATGCATGGATTTCCTTGGGTCGGAACCTAGGAGCCCAGTTGCTGGGTCACACGCCATGGCTGGGTCTCAGGGTTTGAGGAACCATATGAATTATTTGAGATCTAAGAAAGCCACAGGTGCCTGCTGGTATCTTTCTTTCTTTCTTTTTGGAGCTTTTCTCCATCACAGCTTCCTAGGTACCATTGGGAGCACCTGTGACCTGGCCTGGGTGCCTGGGGTAATAGGAGGGACCTAACCGGAACCTCATCTTGGGGCTCACTCGCTTAAGCCTTGGCGTGTAAGTGAAGCTTATCTGGGAGGCGTGTGCTCTGCCAGACTGCCCTGCCCCCTCTAGCATTTGAAATCCAGGCCAGGGGGAGGCGGGGCTTTTGCCACCTGTGCTCCAGCAGCCCCAGAGACCGGCAAGGCGCTGCCTGGCTCACCATGCACCCTGGGCCTCCTGCAGGCAGGGTGGGCTGCTGGGCCTGTACACTGTCAACACCCAGCCTGGGTTGCCCGTCAGGCTTGTAGGGAATGGCCCACGTCTCCTGTCCATGTTCTAGGGTAGCCTTTGTTTCTTTTTTCTTTCTTTCTTTCTTTCTTTCTTTCTTTCTTTCTTTCTTTCTTTCTTTCTTTCTTTCTTTCTTTCTTTCTTTCTTTCTTTCTCTTCTTTCCTTCCTTCCTTCCTTCCTCTCTCTTTTTTTTTTTGAAACAAACCTGTCAAGGCTTTTTTTCTTTTTTTTTTTAAGATTAATTTCTTTTTATTTGAAAGGCAGATTTAAAGAGATGTGGAGAGACAGAGAAAGATCTTCCATCTTCTGGTTCACTGCCTCGATGGCTACAATGATTGGAGCTGAGCCAATCTGGAAGCAGGAACCAGGAGATTTTTCTGGGTCTCCCACGTGTGTCCAGGGGCCCAAGGCTTTGGGCAATATTCTGCTGTTTTCCCAGGCCACAACATGGAGCTGAATGGTAAGTGGAGCAGCCAGCACATGAACCAGTGACCATATGGGATCCCAGCACTTACAGGCAAGATTAGCCAATTGAGCCATCATGCCAGCCCAGTAATAGATCAGCCAAGTGCTACAGTATAGTAAGCTACAATTCTGAGGCTTGTAGGCCACTGGTTTTCCTTTTGCCTGTAGCCTTGTTGATGTTTGATGCAACTGCGTGTGGTGTGCTAGACCTGATGTTTACATAGACCCCCATGGGGCGGGGTGCATCACCTTCCTTCTTCTGAAGTCCATACTTCTAATCTCACAGCCGCAGGTACCAGCTCCTCTCCTGTGACGTCACGTCGTTACCTCCTACAGAAATTCCCGCAGTTTGCCATGTGCTGTGGCCAAGTCCTTTCTGCTGCATAGCTG